TACCCACTAGTGCCACCATTCTAGGTCTGGGCTCCAGCCAGCCTCCCACAGTCACCAAGCTGTCAGCAGACATTTGTCTCTATGTTCATTTACATCTCCCAAATACCAGTAAATGCATGTCAGGCTCTTCCAGAACGCTTGTTCAGTGACTTGTTTGTGGTCTTTGACGATGCTGGGTCAGGAGTTCTGCCACCCAGGAAACATCCAGCCAAGGACTCAGATGCCCATCTGTTTCTTGCAGGCACTCCCAGTCTCCTGGTGCTGTCCTACCTTAGCCTGCGACTTCCCCTCACCCCTAAAGAACAAGAAAGTAGGAATATCAAAGCACTCCAGACGGATGAGCATCAACAACAGCTCCAGGTCCACAAGAGTGCTCTTTCCTGTGTCAAATGTGTCATCTCATAGAGGCTGCAGGTGGCAGTGGGGGCCATGGCAGCTGGAGGAGTTGTGCTGTCCTCTGCATGGCCAGAGAAGTATTTTTCTACAATGCGGGGGCACCTGTATGCACTTCTGTCCTTAAGACTCAGCTCAGACTCCAACACAACCAGAAAAACCTTTCAACATCTTGTTACACACACATAATCACCTTTAATTTTCACAACCACCTTATGAGTTAGAGGAATTAGGTAACTGAACTTACAGAAGAGCTTCTAGTTACATGTGGTGAATTGGGCTTATCTCTGCTCACCCTAGAAACCACATCAAATTGAGAGTAAAGACGTGAAAAAGGTCAGGCATGGTGGCACGTGCCTACAGTCCCAGCTACTGGGGAGGCTGCAGTGGGAGGATCACCTGAGCCTGGGAGGCCAGGGCTGCAGTGAGCCATGATCATGAAACTGTGCTCCAGCCTGGGCAACAAAGTGAGACCCTGTCTCAAAAAAAAGACATGAAAAAGCACAAGGGCAAAGAGAAGACGAGAGCAAATGAGAGATTTAGTTTGATAAATGGAAAACCAAATGTACAGGATGACTGATTTAAGTTTGGGGATTTTTTTGATGGAGTTTCGCTCGTTACCCAGGCCGAAGTGCAATGGCGTGATCTCGGCTCACCGCAACCTCCGCCTCCTGGGTTCAAGCAATTCTCCTGCCTCGGCCTCCTGAGTAGTTGGGACTACAGGTGTGTACCACCATGCCCAGCTAATTTTTGTATTTTTAGTAGAGACGGGGTTTCACCATGTTGACCAGGATGGTCTCGATCTCTTGACCTCATGATCCACCCG